TCTCTCTCTCTCTCTCTCTCTCTCTCTCTCTCTCGCACTCATACCGTAGTTATATCTGCCTTTCCTGATAGCGTACTGTGCATTGTATGGCAGATACTCTGTGCCAAAGACGGGATAACTGAAGAACTGTGGATAAGTGCTGATATCGATGGGATTAATAGCCTTAAGACAGTCGATCCAATTGGAGAAAAAGCCTTTAACGCACTTAAACTGTTTGCCTAATTCTTGCGATTGTTTTAAAGCCGCGCTTTTGTTGAGAAAACCTAAGTTTTTGTCGTCAAAATAAGCACCGCTACTGAGGATAGCTCTGTGAAAGTAACCCCTGGCCAGAGGGGACAGTATATGGGCCGACACTGACCACCCGCCGGCCCCCTCACCGAACAGTGTAATCCTCCTGTAGTCGCCTCTAAACGCGTGAATATTGTTTCTTATCTATGGATTAAAACACAACAAAACGTGATTAGTTTGAAAAGCATCCGCCTTTTAATACTGTATAATCTTGTTAATTGAGATTAAGGTAATTATAATTATCTCTATATTAATCAATTAGGTGTTCAATTGACATCCTATTCACAAATACATTCACTATTCATCGCATTTCCCACAAAACGAAACAGTAGTTTATTTGAAAAAGTTGCCTCAAATAAAACTGTCACAACACCTAAAAGTTGCTAACATGTAATAAAACCATGAACAATTATTGATAGCAACATTACGCCCATTAAGTGTATAATTAAAACTGTATTTAGTTTCACAGCGAAATACATTTAATATTAACTATAGAGTAAACAACACATTAAAAGTCAAACCCATTTGAGTGCCAACAACTGGTCGTATAGACCCATATTGCCGGGCGCGTCGTCGCCGTCGCCAAAGAGCCAGCCCAACGGCCCTAACCGGTAGTTGACGGACACCACAACCACGTCATACGTGGCCAACATTTTGCCGTTGAACGCATAGCTGGAGCCCATGGTTAGGCCGCCTCCGTGTATGTACACCATCACCGGTTTCATTGGCTTACTATCCTTTGCCCATATATTGAGAGACAGACAGTCTTCGCTGGACTCT